CAATTGTGGTTGATCAGCAACGCGGTTTTCGAGAGTTATGCGATGAAGTTGTTCGAAATTGAGTGACATCTGCTGGAGAGTGACAACATTTTGCTATGGCCACTTCAGATGGAAACAGCACTGTTCGGTGATATCGAGAAGTTGGCCGCCGGTAGGTCACTGACGGTTAGCGGTGATCTGCAAATGGATCAAGCGGTGCCGCTGGCGAGCTTTGGCTGGGATTTTGCTCATAATGGAGCGCTTATCAACGAATCTAAAGTGCAAGTGAGCGAGTATGATCCGAATGAAATCATTCTGAGGAATTCATTCAGGAATTACACAACTGTTCTCAACAGGTATTCAATGTTTGCACGATCGCGGCTTTGTTTTGAATGTTTCTTGCGTGAAATTCAGTTAGACGCATTCCATCAAATCAGTTTAATCAAACTAAGCGCATTCATCGCAGATGCTCAAAATGAAAACTCTTTGCAATGTAGATGAAGTATTTTTTGCGCAGCCGAAAAAATCAGTTGACAGATGAGTCAACATTTTGAGTGCTCTCTTATCAGTTGAATCAGTTGGAAGGTACTATTTGTTGATCGAAACAAATGCAAATTGTGCGTTAATGAAATACAATTGTAAGGGAATACGTTAGTAATGACACGTAAAACTTAGATACACGCTTTCAAAGATGTTCTATGTATAACGAACAATTTCAACTAAACAGAAAATTCAGTGTAATTGGAGGAACAACATGAGAATTGACATAATAATAACAACAACTGCAGTGATAATTACGGTTGTAATATAACCAATGTTAAGTAATAATATGAATGATAATAACAGCAATAATATTCAGAAGTACAGGAATTTATAATGAAACGTATGAATAGATACCGAAATTCACCGTAGAAAATTTTTATGACCAATTGCAAGATCACTTTCGCGAGGACGAAACAAGAAGAACAATGTTCTTGATATTTATAACACGGTTTTTTTCGTATTTCATTATGAATGTCTAGAATAGTCAGAATTTTATTTGCTTAACTGTTATTTCAATTCTCGTTCAGAACAGGGATATGAACCGATGAACATAAACTTGAGAAAAACTTCAGGAAAGTGGAGCGATGGTCAGCGAAATCAACGGAAGATGCGAATACTTTCGTTTTCAGTTATCAAGTGCGCATTCCCGAGCAACTGTTCACGTATAGAACTGGCCTTTTCGAACTGCTCAAATTTGCTTGGATACAATATTTGAGTATTTTTGTTGTTGTTCGTTTTGCTCTCCGAAACCTTCTTAAGTTCATCTTTGAGAATCGCATTCTTTCAACGATTGTTTCAAGCGACAATAAACATCTTGACTGATTCGCTCGATTGTGTCAAAAAAAAAACATCTTGATTCACTTGACTGTTAACGCTATGCACCAGCTTGGTGTACCATATCGATGGCTACACCATTTGCCATATTAATTGAGATCATTGTCCACTTCAGTTTATGATATTGCTAGATGCACAATGCATTTTTAAATGAGACATTCTAACTTAGCAACATTTCCACAAGGTCATTTATTGCTGACTTCGCTATAATTTAGCCCTTTTTATACTGCTGACCAATTAGGCAGCGAAATGGCTCTCCATCTCAACGGTTTGTAAGCATGGGTTGCTCCAACATTTTTCCATTAACCGGCTTCTGGCATTGTGGATTTGATATTTTCAAGGCTGATGCCTCGACTGGCTCCCAGTTCGCTAACGTCAAGTTCTGATTCTTGAAACAGTTCTACATCTGTGCAAGGATGCTGTGACCTCGGATTCCCTAGCTGCTAGCAAACTTGTTATGAATCGTAACCGGTGAAACTCCGGAAAATAGTTCATCTACAAATAAGCAGTCTTCTGCGAATTGATGTGAAAAAAGCACTCTCTGCGAGACGTTTCGTTTCGTCCATTCATACGATCCTATCTAGAATGTTATGATTTGGAAGTGACTCAATTTAGCACCATAAATGATTGATGGCGTGATTTTTGAATGAGGTGTGATATGAACAATAATAATTATGGTTAATGTGCTGTTTTGTGACAG